TTTTCGATCATTTAATATAAAACTAATGTTTAAATAAATCAATTAAACAATTATTAAATGTTTTCTTAAATTTTATTAATTATACATCACTTGAACATCAATTTTAATTCAATTTATTTACACTATTAATAGAGTTATCGTTAGTTTTGTTGCTTATTATTCAATAACTTTCTTATAATACATATTCTGTACATTCATTTCATTAGTTTTGTTGTGTTTTATATAAATATATTTATGTTACTTTTACTCTATATTTAGCCAAAGAATATATATTAGAGATTATTTATTAATATTATACTTTTTGTATAAAATATATTTGCTAACCGACAATACATTTTGTAATAAAAATATTTTCCTATAATATATGAATTATATAATAGAAAAAAGGCAGAAATGTTTGCATTTTTGTTTGCAATCGTGATATGCATTCATTTAATCCTTATGTTTAGCTATCGATGGGATTATATTAATCCATATATCNCAGAAATGTTTGCATTTTTGTTTGCAATCGTGATATGCATTCATTTAATCCTTATGTTTAGCTATCGATGGGATTATATTAATCCATATATCGGTTAATCGTTTAGTTTTAATCCATATATTCTTTCACAACAATTTACACGACATTTCTTTCTTCTAAACTATTGGCGTCTGTTTTGAGACAAAAACAAAGAAAAACAAATATTAGTATTAATTGCAAAAAACTAATAATCAATTGAATGGACAAAAACCTACATCTCTTGCATCCAATCTCATCGCAAATGAACGCAAATTAAACGAGTCTTTGCTTGACGTCGGAGAAGACAATTGACTTTTGTTGGTATCGGTGCTCACAATCTGTGATTTATTTGTCTCTTGAAATATCGGCTTATTATACGAGAAATAATTGGATGACATGTCATGTGCTGTCAAAATAAAACAATGCATTTAATAATTACATTATATAATATCAAAACCAAATCAAATGATTGGTAGGGAAAGGGATGCTTACGGTTAGTATGCATAGCATTGTTAGGAACTATAGTTGGCTTTTGTTGGTGTTGTTGTAAATGATTGTTAAAATCGGATCCAATCATCTCATAGGATGGCGAGTAGAGACTTGTGCTTCTGCCCCTGTGTTAGACTAACAGAACGTATGCTAGCGACGGTACAGAAGCCGCTTTGAAGCCGCCTACGGACCGGACCTCACCGCCGTCTCGACATGAGTATAACGACAGTCACCTATAAGGACTGGTGGGCCTGAAGTTGTTGGCCATCTGCGCCCTTTGGTGGGAGCGGTACTTCTTATTGATATTACTGTTGCTATTATTGTTGCTATTGTTCGTGAGTTGGGGTTCAATACTGAACAGCTGTTCATTGAAGGTAAAGCCGCCGGCGTTTTGCACCGCACGGGCCATACAGTCGGCCAAATCTGTTTGCGCGTAAAACGCCTGCTCGCGATCGTAGGGTCCGTCCCGTCCGCCACCGCCGCCGCCCTCGCCGTCGCTCGACGGATGACTGGCCGCCCCATCGCTGGCCTCGCGGTCGCAGTGGCCGTAGTCGGTGTCGCCGCCGATACTCGACTGAGGAGAGTGTCGACCGTTGCCGACGGCCGCCGCCGCCGCTGCCATTCGGGCGTTCATTATATCACGTCTGAGACAATCGGTGTCGCCGTCCATCTCCAGCCTCTGATATGAGCCCACATTCACCGCATTTCGCATCTGTTGCTGTTGTTGTGGTTGGTGTTGGCTCTCATCCATCAGCGATGGTAACGATGACTGCATTTGTCTGTCCATAGGGTTGGCGATGATATTCGTCACGTTTGACGACTCGTAATGCTTTTCCATCGACTGTTGGTTTTGAAGTGATCGCAGTTTCTGCAGGAATTGCGGTAATTGTGTCCGATTTTGGTGCGAGAGTAGCGACGCGTCGGCCGAACCCGACATAATGTCTCCCACTTTCTTATTCCTCGTCAGTGTGTTTTTCGGCGACGCCAGACTGTGACGGCTGTTGGCCGGCGAGGGCTGATAGGATCGGCTGATTAGCGGCGAGCGGCCAGAGTTGGAGCCGCCGGAGTGTATGTACGCCATCGACGGTAACTGTTAGACACACCGGAAAAACAAGATTAGTGTCCATTTGTGATGATTATAATCTACTGGTAATATACCTGTACTCTAATCATACGGTTGGGGTTGTGTTGCCTGACATTGCAGTTGAGTAGTGGTGTGTCGGGAGGGGTCCCGCACTCACTCGGAGGGTTCTCCGGCGGGGGAGGGATCAGATCATTCCAGTTAATGCCCGGCCCTTTCGGCCCATGGCTTCCGGTGCCGTTCATATGCATGGCCTGCGGTCTGAAGGGATGATTGGGCAGCGGTTGCGGCGGTCGGTGTTTGTTGTGTCCGCCGGTCTTCATCTTCCGCACAGGCATTCCGTACTCATCGGTGGTATAACTGCCGGAATCGCTGGGACTCTTCACCGCCTGTTCGTTCAGGAGGTGATCCATCGCTCCGTCGTCGTTGTACTCGGCGTTGAATGGCATGGGTTTGTCAGACTTGCGGCTGCCGTCGGAGCCGCTGCTCTTATGGTCGCGAACGGAGCCCAGTTTGGGCGCACCGGCGGTGTTGATGAGTGTAGTGGTGGCGTACGGCGCCGGCACTGACGTCTGGTACGAGTCCTTCTTGTAAAACGTGGACAAGTTATGTGTGTCGACCTCCGCATAGTCTGGAGCCGCGTAACCGTCGCCCACGAATGCCGACGAATAGCCGTTCGCGTCGCTGTTTGGACCGCAATTGTTGGCCAACAGTTTGGTCTGATTGTTGTCCTTATCGGAGGGCCGCCAGCCGTGATTGATCCAAAGCGCTTCCCTGGCGTTCCCGTTGAACCCGCCTCTGCCTATCTCTTCGTTCTTATTCAACGGAACCGTTAGGTGAGCGCCGATTGTCTTCTTCCACGCGATTCGCTTCTTCATGACAATAACGACGGCCACAACGGAGCCGAAGATCAGTAACAGTGCGCCCAAAATGGCGTAAAACAGTGTCATCGTTATGCCGCCCAAGTATGTCGTGTCCATGGAGTTGGCCGACGGGCCGTCGCCGTCCATCTTCGAGGCCAAAAGGTTGGGATCCATTCGCAGGGCTACCGGCGAGCTAAGAGGTCCGGCGCCCACCACCGTAAAGGCCAGCGCACGTACGCTATACACCGCACCGGTGGTCAAGTTGTACAACACGATGGCACTGATGGACGAGTTGACAGTGATGTTGGAGTGAAGTGCGGATCCGTTGCCCAATACGTGTATATTATAGCCCAAGAGATTGCCGTTGCGGTGTTCGGGCGCCGGCGGTGTCCACTCGATGGTCGCGGCCGTCAGATTCACGGCTTTGACGGTGAGTTTCTCGGGCGCACCGGTGGGCACGTCCTCGTGGGTCATAACCGTACGGGTATTACTGGGCTTTCCCTCAACGTTCTTGTAATACGGGACCAGAAAGAACTCAAATCGGGTGTACTTTCGCAGATCGGACAACACGTAAGAGGAGGAACCGCTGTTGATAACAGTGACCATATTGTACTTCTGGGCGGTGGCCGGACCCGAACTCATGTCCCGATACCGGACGTAGAAGCCCTCCATAAACTCTTGACTGCCCTGAATATCCCAATAGAGTTTGACGGCTGTGGAGCTGACGGCCCGGACGTCCTTCAGCTCGATGGCGGCAGACGACAGGCGAACCCTCGCCTCATCCAAATCGTATTCAGGCAAGTGTTGCGACGACGCGGAGCCCAGTGTCCGGATTTCGTCCGATATGGGCGACGGCGGACCCAATCCGTGGTTATTCTCGGAGCGCACGTAAAACACGTACCGCGAGTCGGGCTGCAGATCGTGAACGGTGTAGACGTCGGCCGCCACCCGAGTGGCCGACACTTTCCATCCGGTCTGCAGTTCGGGTGAGTAGTACTCGACAGTGGAGCCGATGAATGGCGACGATCCGGCCCTTCCCAGCCGTCGCCACGTTATGGTTACCGACGTCTCTGTCATGTTGACGATGGATGGCTTCTGCGGCGGTCCGGGAAAAGTGGACGGATCGGGCATTCGGTGAAACATTATGTTGGGATTTCTCGGCGACTCTATGGCCAGGGATGCGCTCCAAGAGGTCTCCCCGCTCTCGCTGGAGGCGATGCACGTGTAGAGACCGGAGTCAAAGTGGACGGATCGGGCATTCGGTGAAACATTATGTTGGGATTTCTCGGCGACTCTATGGCCAGGGATGCGCTCCAAGAGGTCTCCCCGCTCTCGCTGGAGGCGATGCACGTGTAGAGACCGGAGTCAGCCTTCTGGAGGTCTGTGTGGTGTCAATGAAAATGGTTTTAATTAGTTTTAATGATAACTACTTTTTAGTCTCGAGTCGTGTTTTGCAAGACTCGGGTGTTTTGTGTTCAATGACTTAATACAGGAGATGAATAAGACGTTTAGTGAGTGCTTTGATTAACAGATAAAACAGTATTTAATGTTTGCATTAATTAATAATTACGAAGTCATTAAACATCAGGTATTTTTTGTGCAGTTAATTAATCATTAATTAAAGCAAATTTTTGGTTCATTTCATAAATTAGTCACAAAAATAATTTTGTGTTTTTTATGGGCGAAAAATCGGCTATTAATCCAAAAAGATTAAAATCATTTTTATGTTTTAATTTATGCCCAGATTTTTGGTTCACAACCGACTTATTATGCGATGAAAAAAATGCAAAACAACTTATTTAATGCCTTATTTCTTAATACAAACTATTTATACGTTAACTAAACCGCTAGAAAAACATTTTTACCATAATTTAATCTAAACTAATGAGCGTTTAATTGGGATTAACTATAAAGCGAACAAAAAATCAAACAAAACCATACCATCGATCTGAAGGGCGCCGGAGTCGAGCACAACAAACCGGGGGTCGTATAGGGGAATGGGTTTGCCGTTTAGCAGCCATTTGACCACCGGTTGCGGCGAACCGATTGTCTCGCAGGGAAGCATTGCGATCGTGTCTTGAGGTAGTGTCTGATTGGCCGGACCTAATTTGATGAGCGGTGGCGGCACATCGGCCACCGCCGACACTGTCAGATACGATTTGGCCATCGATGAGCCCACGACCGACACGGCTGAGCACACGTAATAGCCTTTGTCCTCTTTGCGGACACCCGATATGGTAAGCGTCCCCTCGGAGGACACGGAGAAGCGGCCGTGACTTTTGCCGCCAAACATCAGCACTTGATTGCCTTCGCGGGTCCAGAAGACAGAGGGCGGAGGGTTTCCGGTGGCCACGCAGTCAAGTCGGGCCACACTATTCACAGGCACTCGTATGTCTTTCGGCTGAACCAAAAATGTGGGACGAGCTGTGGGTGATGTCAAGTGGGTAAGGATTAGTGTCGCGATAATTATAATTATGATTCAAATCATTTATAAAAGTTTGCATACAATGAACGATAAGTGTGGCCGAGGAGGTGATAGTGCCGACCGGGTTCTCCACTTCGCATATGTATACCTAAAGTCACATTAGTTAACATTAGAGAGACTTGTTTTCCGGATGTGCTGAGCATTTATCCCAACACTTACCCCTTCATCCGCAGGCGTCACGTGAATAATCTTCAACGCCTTGTCCTCCAGTATTTGCGCTCTGAATTTAATGAGAAATATGAGAAATTAGTGTCAAATTAAGTGATCGTTCATTTCAATAGCATTTATGTTAGGACTGGATGTAGCCGTACCTTCCGATTGGCATTTTACCATCTTGTCTGCGCCACGTGATAGTCGGTGTGGGATCGCCGCCCACTTTGCAATGAAACTCAACATGTTCGCTCGATAATGTGGTCACGTCTTCCGGCCCTCTTATGAAGAATGGTTTGACTGCAATTAAAAAAGAGACAATCGTTTTGTTAATATCATAATAATGTCATCCAGTGATTGAAACAATTGTGTCAATGATTAATGTGTTTTAGTTGAGTACAAACCCTGAACGTTGAGTATAGCGGGCGGAGACTCCCGTACGCCGACCACATTCTCGGCGATACACTGGTATCGGCCCTCATCTCCGGGCCTGACTTCGCTGATCATCAGATTATTGCCGTTGAGTCGAATCCGTCCAAAACCGGTGTTAATCTTCTCGCCGTTGCGTTTCCATGAGATGACCGGTTCCGGGAAACCCCGCGGAGGCGCGCACTCCATCACCGCTGTCTCGCCGGCCGCTGTCCTCACGTTTTTGGGCATTATTTTGAACTCATCTCTCAATACTAGTGTAACAATTGGCAGAAAGAGAGGGAAAAAAGTTTGATTAGAAGCGATTCGCAAATCAATTGTGTTTTGAAAAGTCATAATTGAATTCAAAGGGATGTCTGTATTGTGTCAAAAGAGCTGTCACTCAACGCAGTGTTTGGTCTGTGAATGTCTGGCATAGGAGTAGATGGAAAGGTATGTGCGATCAGACCATCAATCGCCTCAAATGCATGACAAGCCATTGCATATCTCATCTGATCCCTCGTGAGAGTGAGAGTGAGAGTGAGAGAGACGAAGAATCAGTTGACAGCTATTCTTGTAAACGAATTAAATTCCTTATATATGATGTGAGATGAGAGGGGCTGTCATTAAGCACACAGGAGTGCACTGACAATGTGTATGGTGTCTGAGCCCTACCAACACAACCAAACGCTTTCATAAATGAAAGGCATAGGTATTCATAAATCTCTCATTAGTACTAAATCCAGATCAAAGCCAAAGCCTCACCACTAGTGCCGAGCAATTGAAGTATGTGTCGACAGACCGTCTTTTCTCTCTCCTCTTAAACATATAAATACAGAATATATACAAAAATTGCATTTATTTATACACGACTTAAATCTGTTGGAAATTATAAGCGATTTTTCATAGCTTTTAAACTATTCATTGGTTTTTGATTTATTTATGTTTCACTTTCGAGAAACAATTCGCAACACATTTGTCAACGAAATTAATTGTTAAGGATTTCAGCGATTAATTCAAACACATTCTGTCTATACGTCTAGATATTGTGTAAGAGATTTCATGTTTAATTTGTTGTGCGTTTAGAGCACTAATTCAGTTAATTATAGCCACAGTATTAGCCGACAGATACGAAACTACAACAAAAAACATCACAAAGTTTTAGCAACAAATTTGCAAACTCTGGCCGAAAACGGATTGAAAGGTTTAATGCATTCAATTTAATTAATAGCCGTTTTCTTATCTAAATATCCTTACATTAGATCCTATTTTGGGCACAAATTTATTCGTCCCTTACTTTTTGCATACATAGAAAAGGCACACAATTTTCAGATTAAAATTCTTTATAGGCTTTGAATCATTCAAACGACGTTTTGGTCGTCAAGAAGAAGAAAGTAAGTAAAAAGTTATTGGATTTTGAGCTGAATTTATATGACGTTTGGGTCATAAACGCGGCGATAATATTAAAAATATTTTCAAATTCTTTGCAATTCTTCATTTGATTTTCTCCTCACTTTCTCTTCACTCATATTAAACACAAAAAATCTCAAAACGCAGACAAAAATTGTATGTTTAAAAAGGATTTATTTTGAACAACGATTGAGTGTCGCCTGAATGTCATAAATCTAATACCAAATATAAATGTAATATAAAAAACTTCAATCATTCAATGAATTCAATGATTTCTGTTTCGATGTTTAATATTTCTTTGTTTGAGAGCTCAGACACAGACAACAACTGAACGATATATTATATAAATGGGTGTTTGGGGCCAATAATACAGGTGTGATATGACGGGCAACGGGTAGGTGTCGGGCCATCTAATAAGCGTATACACAGTACACACACCGGAATGCTGTGAATCCACTTCAATATTAGGGGCACAACAGCCGGTGCTATGATTTTATTCTGACAAATGTTATGACTATTAAATAAGTTTTGGAGAAAACACTGGGAATTAACTCCCACTCGATTCAGGCGAGAGAGATATGCGGAGAGAGAGTAATGTATTTTAATTTTAATCTACTCTTAAAACTATAGTAGATATGAAAAATGTGTTCATATCTTCAATTGGCAATGAAGTGAATCATAATTTTATAAATAAATATAAGCTCTGGAAACGAGTTTTTTGGTTGTCCTGTACTTTGACTTCAAATATTATATAAAATATAAATTCTGTATTAAAAACATATGGTATTCTCAGCCATGAAATACCGAGTGAAGTGCAAAACCTGTCATATATTATGATTCATAACTTAATTTTTATGATAAATTGTTATTATTATATATACAATGCATACAAGAATTTAGCACAAAATTGATTTAAATTAGATATTAATTGTGCGACAAATATATAATGTTAGGCATAAAGGAGTTTATAATGGATTCAATCAAATATGTATTAAAATAATTCAATTTAATTTCGTATACAAAAAATGCATTTAAATTCAAACAAATCTCTTTCGTCTCAATCTAATCGAGTCAATGCTCTCTATATTTAAAGATGTAATGTTTTGAAACATATTCTCTCAAAGAAAAAATTCAAAAATGCAGAAAAAAGTTAATATTATATTATAAAAATTGAATTCAAGTGTCGCCTAAAATAAACTTCAAAAATATATAAGACTTTCTTCTTTAATAATATTATTTTCGGCAAAAAATATTTTTTCGGGAAATTAAACGCTTTTGTGAAGAGACTAATGACTTCATTAATGTCTTGTATTGCAGATGAAGAGACCCATTGAAGACATGACTGATATTTAACTGATTTGAGACGCTTTTATGCGAATCCAAATAAACAACAAAATATTTTAGTCCAATATTGTGTAGGAATAGCACGAGTCGTGCCGTTATATTAAATTTCTTCTGTATTTTTAGCAAGAATTGAGTGATTTTTGCAAAAAAAATTGTGTGTTGTATATCTCTGTGGGGGTAGAGATGTAAGTGCTCTGTCGTCTCTCTCTCTCTCTCTCTCTCTCAAGTCGTCTATCCATCCCTTACTCTATATATAATATATTGTGGTTTTATGGATGAGGAATAGCGTTGCATTTCCGGCTCTGTTCTCAACTACTCTTTACTTTTTCTAAGAGTTTTACTGTATTTTTGGTTTTCCACTCAAATGTAAACCAAAAAACTTCACTTCACTTTCATATAAAGGAATTGACAAAAAGATCTCTTATTTTCTCAAATTGTTGAAAGAAGTGGAAAAAAGAAAGGTATGGGAAGGAGGGGGAGAGAGAGAGAGAGAGAGAGAGAGAGAGAGGCAACGATTCACGTGAACCCAAATCTCTTCTTCTCGTCAGATATTTTGCAATCTTTTTATACGAAAAGATAAAATATTTTTTGGTGAAGAGATTATTCACTGTTTTTAAGCACTGAATCGTAACGTGAATGTCGTCGACATAACCAAAACATAACATAATATATAAACACATTTAATGCACAAAAATTTATATTTAAATTCCTTAAACATCTGTACCATTCAATCACTGGTTTTGATAAACCAAAACACAACGCCAGCACTCAATCATACGTTTCAATTGATATTTATTTAGTGAATCAATGTTTGGATATATATTTTAGGGCAACATTTTTATCACTTGAATTGGATTTTTAAGAGATGAGAGAAAAATAGTTGTCGCAAATGTTATGTAATTTTAAAATATATATAAACTCTTATGAGATAAGAAACTAGTGCTACGAATGCGAAAGTTTTGTATCGAGAGAGAGAGAGAGAGAGAGAGAGAGAGAGAGAGACTTTATTTCAACACTAAATATGAATTCATATCCAGAAGTGAAAGGAGTGGAGAGAGAGAGAGAGAGAGAGAGAGAGAGAGAGAGAGGCAATGATTCACGTGAACCCAAATCTCTTCTTCTCGTCAGATATTTTGCAATCTTTTTATACGAAAAGATAAAATATTTTTTGTTGAAGAGATTATTCACTGTTTTTAAGCACTGAATCGTAACGTGAATGTCGTCGACATAACCAAAACATAACATAATATTTAAACACATTTAATGCACAAAAATTTATATTTAAATTCCTTAAACATCTGTACCATTCAATCACTGGTTATGATAAACCAAAACACAACGCCAGCACTCAATCATACGTTTCAATTGATATTTATTTAGTGAATCAATGTTTGGATATATATTTTAGGGCAAAATTTTTATCACTTGAATTGGATTTTTAAGAGATGGGAGAAAAAAAGTTGTCGCAAATGTTATGTAATTTTAAAATATATATAAACTCTTATGAGATAAGAAACTAGTGCTACGAATTCGAAAGTTTTGTATCGAGAGAGAGAGAGAGAGAGAGAGAGAGAGAGAGAATAGGAGTGAGAGGACTGGTAGTCATTGAGAAAATGAACTGAAAAGTTAAAACCCGAAAGCATTTTATTCGAGATATTTAGTGTTGAAATAAAGTTAGACTCAAATTATTTGATCGATTGAATGATTTTGGAAGAGATGGAAGGCTAACACACAATCGTCTCAATGGCTTTTCCCTTACCATACAGTTTGTGTACACACTGTATGTGTATTAATGCCATAGGAATGGCACTGCAATTATCAATCACTATCTGTTCAGGCATTCCGTTCGTACGGTTAGGAAGTGCTTCATTATATTCACCCAATCGTTACATTTATATCTACTTTTTTTCTCGTCTCTATATATGTATTGTTAGACAAAAACCAGAATTTGCAGAACATATCATATAATGAGCTAATAATGTAATCTATTCTTTGTTTCATTCATTCAGTCAGTCATTCATCCAGTTTTTTGCCTCTTCTTTATACTCTACCGAAAAAACCTCTAATGAATCCTATGATTGCATTTCAATGGTATTTCTCACTCCATGTGTAAGATATGATTATTGTTAACTCTTTTTCGGGTTATTTATATATACAGTGATAGTGAGCGATGGGTTTGAGATTTTTTTCCTGTTACTTCTCATTGACTCTGTCTTATATCACAATAATATATGAAAATAAACTACAAATGCATTTAATTAATCATTAAAACACACTTTGTATTCATGTGATGCCAAAATCGATACCTTATTTCTTGAGATGTTATTTATTTTGCGTTTGTATTTAAATTTAAGATTTAAATTAAACGTGAAATGCATTTGATTTGGTATTAAATGCGAAAATAGTGTTTCGTTTTTGATCTCAAATATACAACACATATACAGAGCATAGAGTTGTTGTGTTTAAGACTGACATTAATTAAGGCTTTTCTCCAGAAGTAAAAGTCTGAGTGATGTTCTCCTCTCACATACGGAGCCCTTGTTTTGATTGCTTTAATGTATACTCAATACAGTGTACGTCAGCATCGAAATCAAAGTTTACATTTCTGGTCATTATTTATCTCTCATATAAGACCTGTCAGTCTATTGAGATTGTCTTTCATCAAACATTGAGAACTATTTTTCTCCTATTCTTTCAGATATGAAGAGGAGAGAGAGAGAGAGAGAGAGAGAGAGAGAGAGAGGGGGGGAGAGAGAGAGAGAGAGAGAGAACATTAAAGCAATCAAAACAAGGGCTCCGTATGTGAGAGGAGAGAGAGAGAGAGTTTATATAATGATAAATAAGTTATTAATAATTTAATAATAATAATAATGGATAGAGTTTTAACGCTTTTAGTCATTAAACCCAAAAACATAAAGTTTTTCTCTCACTTTATTTATTATGATTATTATTACTATTATTAACTCTCGATAGGAATGAGAGAAAAGCAAATTAAATGCATGTCTAAAGAGTGGTGGCGTTTGGAGAGCAGAAGACTTGTATTGAAAGACATGTTTAAGACTTGAGATTCAGTGCAACCTATTTGGGAGAAACACACGTCTTGTGTAAACATTTCATATAAGTGGTGGAAAAAAGAAAATGCGTTTTTATAGTGTGAACGTAAATTAATTA